TTATATTAAAGAATTATTTTTTGTCAACTTAGTAGGTGAACAGAGAAATAAATTAAACAAAAGCATTTGTTTGATTAATAAAGCAAATGAGATACAATTGAAGAATCCTTTGGAAGTAGCAGGAGTCGTATATGAGTTGATGTGCACGTGTACAGAATGGAAATACTATATTGGAGAAACAGGAAGAAAACTGGAAGTGAGGCTGAAAGAGCATGAAGCGGCAATCCGACTAAATAGAACAGAATCCCCGTGGCAACAACACTGCAGTATAACAAATTGTATTATTGACCGAAATAATATTAAAATATTGTATAAAGTAAAAAATCTTGTAAAAAGACGCATCATAGAACATTTTTGTATTAAAGGACATGTAAATTGTATAAATTTAAATACCGGCACATGTGTTAATGCATGCTGGGATAGCTTGATAGAGAATAAAAGTACTGGCAACGTAACAATGTAATATCCACTGATGAGGCTGACAAGCGAAATATATATGGATAAAAAATTGGATAAAAATAGAAAAATAAAGTAAGAATTAGTGAAAGTGATTTTCTGGTCTTTCTCTGTTTTTAAACTCTATCGAAGTCGGATTTAAAAAGTGAATTCACTTGTATTTCTTAAAGGTTTTTTTAAGGAAAAATTTTTTAGAATTTATTAATTTTAATCATCAGAAACTGTTACAGCTTAGATGGGATGTGCTATCACACCAACCATATTTGCCAGATCACACACTCTCTGGTCTTTACAAAATTTTTTAAACTGTAAGACATTTACTTGAAATGAAAATGTCAAAAATTACTTGCATCCGTTTTTTGTAAGCAAACATCAAAACTTTTATAAACGTGGAATCATGCTACTACTACCAGAAATGATAGCAACAGGTATTTGACCAAAATAGTCAATATATAATTCACTAAAATATTTATTTATTATAAAAATATTGTTTTTTTCCTATGGAAAAAAAACGAAATTACTTTCCGAACAACCCAATATATTAAAAAGATGACATTTATTATTATAGGTTTCAGCTATATTTCAATAATATAGCTGAAACCTATAATAATAAATGTCATCATTTTAAAAGTTTTGAAATTTTAGTTTTTGAACAAATAAAAATTTAAATATATTGTATGAATTTCTGATATTTATTTTTCATTAAATATGAAGCATGGAACGATGTTTTCTAATGTATTATTATGTCATAAAATAGTAATAGTCAATTTTAATCCAAATGGCTTATTCTGATTTTAAGATCACATGATTCTGCTAATTCATACATTATGATTCAAAGAATAACAGAATTATATTTTTGTTATAAGTATAATGCACAATTTTATAATTAGTTTTATTACAGACAAATGCATATAATTAATTTTTTATTATGCAGTGGACCCCCTATAACGTGGTAGATATGTTCCACTTTATAATAATTTCACGTTGTAGGAATCCTTAAATACATGAGCCAATCACAACCCGACATGTGTGAAGTTTACGGACTACGGCTGTTTGAAAGGTTTTCTTCCATAAAATTAATCGATTCTAGACTAATTCAACTCAACATTTCCAAAACACGTATAATTTTTTGGGAATAATCCGTATAAACTATGCTATAAACAAAAAATTGTAGGATTACTTACCGAGTGTGCACCGTTCGATGTCGCCATTGCTTAAGCTTGTTTTCGTCGCGGAACAGCACATCAAATGGCAGACACAATTTCTGATAAGTTATTTTTCTGCGAAAAATTTGTTGCCCTTTGGAGACATCATTAATATAAATAATTTTTATGGCCGTTGAATAAGAAATGTTTCTTTCACAAGAAATGTATAAAATTA